GTGTGTATGTGTATATATATATATAAATAAATAAATATATATATGTAAGTATATGTATATAAAAGTATTAAGAATTTAAATATATTCTTCGTTTATTTAAATATTTGTAATGCATAAGAGTTTATTAATATGCAATATTTTATTTAAGTTGTACATTTTTGTACATACTAGCAAACTGATTATACCTAACCAATAAATGCGCACGTGGCTATTTAGAAATATACTTATCAAGGGTTAAATTATTTCGTCATAAAATAGTCAATGGCAGTTTTTTAATAAGTGCGTTCTGAGACAAGTTGTGCACATCCCAAACTGAAGCGAACTCGTTGATGGAGACTTCAACACTCAGCAGTTTCAGGAAATGTTGTATTTTCTGACAACAGGAAGCAACTTCCTGAAAATCATTAGCTTGGACAAACAAGTGGTCAATAGCCGGTACATACAATTGATGAGAATGGCTAAAAGTAAATTTGAATATGTAAAAGAATTTGAACGTGATGACTGTTGTTTGCCAAATTGTTGGATTGTGGTTAGAATAGATGGAAGAAATTTTTCGAAGTTTAGTGAAGCGCATCAATTTACAAAACCGAATGATGTAGCTGCTTTGCAATTAATGAATCGCGCGGCTATTACGGTTATGGAAGATTTTAAAGAGATCATTTTAGGATTTGGTCAAAGTGATGAATATTCTTTCGTCTTTCGGAAAGACACTGAACTTTACAAACGGAGAGGTATATATATCTTAAAAAATAATTTATAATTTGATAAATTTAAAATAATAAATAAATAATATGTGAACAAAGAATGCATTAGTTTATATAGAATTATTAATATTTACATATTTGATATTATTTATTTTCTATGATGTCTAACAATATGGATATATTATTTATAACATTTTCATAATATTTTAGCTTCAAAATTGATGACAAATGTGAATTCTCTGTTTGCTTCATCGTATGTTTATCATTGGCCTCGTTTCTTCCAAAATAAAGAATTGTATTATCCACCATCTTTTGATGCCCGTGTTGTATTGTATCCCACAGATAAAAATTTAAGGGATTATTTAGCATGGCGACAAGCTGATGTTCATGTAAACAATTTATATAACACTTGCTTTTGGAATCTTGTATTAAAAGGAAAACTAACTCCAACCCAGGTAAACTTAGGTTCTTTTAATTTTGTCTATATCAAAAATGTACTACAAATAATATATATCATGAATAAAAACAATAACTATATAAGTACATAAACAGTTATACATATGTATATTTTGTATTAATTTTTTAACACAAGTAATTTTTAATTTTTTTTTTTTTTTAATTATTGTTATTTATTTATTTTAATTTTTAGGCAGAAGCAAAGCTTAGAGGTACATTGGCATCACATAAGAATGAATTACTTTTTCAAGAGTTTGGTATAAATTACAATAATGAGCCACCACTTTTCCGAAAGGGTACTACTCTTATAAGAAAATTAGTACCTGATGGGACAGGTAGACTAAAACCTGCAGTGGTTCCATTGGTAGATGATATTATTGGAGATCGTTTTTGGAAAGAAAATCCAGAAGTACTTGGATTAAAAAGTTTAGCAACTTATCAACCTCCAAATTTAGTTAATAATGTTACAACAAATCCAATTAGAACAACAAAACCACCATCACCAACTGCTAACATGAAACATATTAATAACACTCCACCACCTTCAGTTGCTAATGTAAATTCTATGAATGAAGAAGTACATCCAGCAAGAAGTCGAGAATCAGATGGAGAAAGAATGCAGTGTGAAAATGAAAGAATTTGTAGAAGATAAGCAGTGTTTTACATCTTTTCTTTTATAATAAATTTGAAAAACATCCTAACGGAAAATAATGAAAGTTTATTTCCAGTAATACTAAGAATATTTTAATCTCGTTTTATCTGAAGCAGTAGTATCATAAAACATTAATTATTGGTGAAAGAATTACAAAGTTCAGAGTTAATAATTCTGATCATTGTAATAATTTCTTTGTAAATTTTTCACTTGAAAATTAAGTTTTATTTTACTACTTTTTTAGAAATTATATTATATATTTTTATATGATAAATTGCATACTTATGTATATACGTGTACTTTCACATATATGCATATGTACATGTATATATATGTTATAAAAGTATTTTACAGAAACAAATATGTATACATATATATTTGACAAATATTTTTCGTTAGGATTTTATATTTTGAAACTCATTCAACTTCAGTATCGCATTTTCTAATAGAAAAAAATTGTATTGAATAATATTAAATTATTTATGAACTGAAAGGCTGCTCTAGAGTAAATGTACTAAGATTTTTATAAGAAATCTTGTTCATAAACCTGAATGGTATAGACTGTAGGCATGTTTCATGTACTACAAAAATTTGTATTCACTTCTGTAGTTTACTGAAGCATTTTGAATTAATTTCGGTTATAAAATTTTATAATTTTGCATGTGTATGTTTAGTAATAATCGGTTAGTTTGAATATTATGATATGATGAATTAATTTGAATATTATTACATGATTTATGAAATTAAATAATGCTTTGTTAATAGAAGGAACATCATGCAAAATGTAAGTATTTTATAAACAAAAACATTGTAAGTATTTTTCTGAGGTATTTATCTTCTTTGTTATTTGGACACCCTTATTTACTCAACTGATTAATTAAATTTCATTTTTGGAATATGATTGATCATAAAAATGACATGTACATGCATAATGTAAAACTTTTAATTTGTTCTTTGGATAAGAATGAAGAAGAATGAAAAAGTTCAATTTAACATAAGATATTATTATTTGGATTGAATGTTTTAAATTTATGGAATGCATTATATATTATTTTATATTACAATAGAATCAATAATTACAACATCGGATAATATCAAACATAATATATACTGGTCTACAATAAAATACACTATGTACATCTATATGATATAAACTCTTGTTATGTATGACAATAATACTAAATAATAATTTTCAATATCATTTGTTTAGTTTGGCTAGACACATAGTCATCTTTTTACTTTAATTATTAATTAAATAATTATATTTTATTTTCACGCTTTCCTTTTTTCCATGATGCGAGATACTATAGAATTATTAATTATTTGTGGTTAAGAAATAAAAATTAGGAGGAAAATTTACTTTTTCGTGTGATACTGTTGCATAGTTAAATATAAATGATCAACAAAACATCGCGAAACTTATTAAAAGATTGGAATGTAATTATCTATTTTAGCACGATGTTTTTGTGCAACACATTCCGCTATCCATACGATATTACGACATTCTTGTTCCTTTAATTTAAGGTAACTGTAAAATACTCCAAAGTGGAATTGTTGAAGAAAAGCATGAACGTTTAAGCGAACCTGTGGTAATAACATTAAAATTAATAAGATTTAAAGATATTTTACTACATTAATTTTTGTGATAGTATTAAATTTACCTCATGCTCAAAGAATTTATCTTCTAAAGTTTTATCACCAGGATTGTTACCTGCACCTTCAAACAAGGCACTATATTCCTACAGAAATGATTGAAATGTAAAATAATACACTCATATAAATGTATGTTGTATATGAATTTGGAGATATAAATTTCTTAAAAAGTATAAGTTCTTATTTTTGAAATACACTTACAGCAAAATATTCTGCTACAGCTTTAACCTGTTCATAATCATCAGCTCTTGCTAGTGCAGCTAATCCATCAGGATTCAATTTTCCACAGCGTGGATACAATTTTGCTCTATCATCTTTACCCAATTCAGTTCCAAATGAATTGATAGTTATAATAATTGCTCGCCTATCAGCTTCAAACTATATAAATAATTTATATTTAGTAAACTGATTCATCAATTATTTTATGAACTCTATGAAATTTAATACCGCAAGTATTTCACACATAGTATCTGCAGTTGTTCCACCAATTTCTTTACAGAATTTATAAAATGCTTCTAAATAAGCTTTGTATAATGTATTCCTGATTATTTCAATGTTCATTTCGTCTAAATCTTGTTCAGAAATGCAATCCACAAAGAAAGGTGCTATAATATTTAATATTATAAAAATACAATAAAACAATATAGCCTATTTTATGATTTTAATACTTTGTAGAAAGAGTTTAAAATACTTTTTATTGTATTTTATACCTAAAGGAGTAAAATTAATAAGATGATATTATCAATCATATAGCTGTAAGTAATAAAATCCAAAAATTGTGATAAAGGTTCTACAGAATGATTACGCATATGTTGAAATTCTACAACAAGCTTTTCTCTCAATTTATCATCGATTACACTGACAGAGAGTGGTGATGGCTCATTAGCTAAGAAACTACCATAATCTGTACCAGCTAAATGTAGTTTCAAATCTGTAAAAGTAAAATGACATTAATAGCATTACTAAAGAATAATAAATAAAAAGGTAAGTACTTTTTAAAATATAGATAACTTCTATTGTTTTTAAAAATGTAATGTAGGTATTGAGCGAAGTTTACCTTCAAGAGTTTCGCATTGTACAAGATTAAGATAATCACTTTGTTGAAGAATTCCACATTTAAGTCCACGACAAAGACCTTCTAGATATCCTCCATCAATATTAAATATACAACCCTTCATTTTGCAAGATCGTTTATTGAAATGCCTTTACTTCAAATACGGATCCGTCAAAGTTGAAATCGGACTCGCCCTTTTTCGAGTCGATCATATGACTATCTAGTGAGAAGTTTGCTGCATGCCATGAAAAAGTAACTAAAGTTCCAAGTAATATCGATCTTGAATAACCATCGAATATTTGATTAAACTGTTTTATTCAAATTTGATTTTATTAAAGCTTTAATTATTTTCTAATATAAATTATTGTTTATTTTCTAATATATGGTAATAACAAATATGTATTTACTATAAATTAAAGATTGTTGAAATAATTGTTATCGTAGGTAAATAAGAAAATGCTTTTTATGTTTTTTAATATTTTTATAAATTATTCTAAATTTAAGATAACACTTTAATATAGTAATAATATTAAAATACTGTTAGTAGATTATTAAATAATTTATGAAAGATTAGGTACACTTTAGCATTCAAAAAATGATATATTTAATATACTTTAAAGATTAATTTGAAATAATAAGTCGAATTAAAAATTGTATACGTAAGAACGTTCAGAATAATTCTGTAATTGTGCAGTTGAGAACAATAACATTTCTTAACTGTTCTCTCTCTTTCTCTCTCTCTCTCTCTCTCTCTCTCTCTCTCTCTCTCTCTCTCTCTCCCTCTGTGTATATATATACATATATATATTTAAGATATGAAAATCGTTTGCATCATCAGGAAATATATGTACATCCTACGTGAAAACAACATACTGAAGTGTATGAACTAGCTTTTCTGTATTGCAGGGTAAATGACGCATATTGATATAGAATGCTGTTCTACTGCGATACGCTCTATACCTATGATTCATAATATTTTAATATTTTAATTGATTTGTGATAGTATATATTTCGTAAATTAACATGTTTGCAAAGAAAGAGAACTCAAAACGACAAACACGAGCTGCTGATAGTCTTATACAGGTATTATTTCGTAGTATTATTAACCTTACTTTTTTAATCAGTTACATATTTTTAAACAATATTTCTTAATAGTATGGAATTTTCGATGTACCAGAAAATTTGGATGATATAAGTAATAATTTTATGAATGATGAAGATGATGATGATTTAGAAGCTGAGCTAGCAGCTTTAACTAGTGATAATAATAATGGCAACTCTAGACGTGATAGTAAATAAATATCATTTATATGTCTACTGTTGATTAATATTACAATTAATTAAATTTTAAATACATTAATGATATATTTTATTTGTACAGCATCGCGTAAACAAGTTCCTAAAGAAGATTTAGATACAATGATAGCTGAAAGTATGAAAGATATAAGCCCTGAAGAGTTATCTGATGGAGAAGATGATCCAGAATTATTAGTATAAATATTACTATTTATATTTTTATTTTTAATAATTATGTAGTAGTACATAGTAACATAATTTTTGATATTTTATATGTTAGAATGAACTTAAGATGATCACAAATGAGGAATCTTCTGAGCAAATATCTTTAGAAAGAAATGAAACTTCAGTAACTGAAAGAACAGAACAACCGGAGATACAAACTCATGATATATCTATGAGATCTATGATAACATTATTGCAAGAAAGATTACAGCTTTATCAAATAGCTGAGAAGAAAGCAAAACAAGAAAATGAACTAAGTCGAGCAAGAAGATTTAATAGAGGTATTAGAACACTTAAGGAATTGTTGAATAATGCTCAAGCAGGGAAACCTATTAATGAAAATGAGATTCCACCACAGTTGTCATCGTATTCTACAGCTGAAACAAATGAAAAAGCACCAGAAACTAGTATAACACAATCTACAGGTATTGTATAAGAAATAATTATCTGTTTTATAAATATTTTTTTGTAGCCATTAAATATTATATTTTTTAGATCAAATTACTACTGTAGCTGAGGTTGATACTACTTTAACCCTGGAAAATGATACTGCTGAAGAACTTGCTCTTACAAAGGGTATAGATGAAGAAGCATTAAAATTATTAAAAGATAGACAACAAGAATATAAAATAGCAGCAATAGCATGGAAAAGGGCTGGTAACATGAAAGAGGCCCTTCAATATTTAAATATAGCGAAACATTTTGACATAGTTATTTCAGCAGTAAATGCAGGGGAGACCGTCGATTTATCAGATATGCCACCCTCTCCAAATATTCCAGAATCAAATAGTACCACATCACCAACAGAGAAACCAGAAAAAATAGAAAACGAAACACAGAAAAAATGTTCCATAGATACAACTCCAACTGGTATATTTTGACAATAATTCAATCGATATTAACTAAATTTGGTAATAGTAATCATATTTTTAATATTTTGAAAATAGAAGTGAAACCATCAGATCCAGAAAATTTAGAAACTGCTTTAAAAGAACGTCTTGAAGCATGTAAAAGGATAAAAGCAACTGCAGAAAGTGAAGGAAACTCATCTAAAGCTCGTAGATATGGTCGTATTTGTAAACAATTTGAAAATGCTATTGAATTACATTCATCTGGGAAACCCATTCCTCTTGATGACTTACCAACCCTACCTGGTTTTGAACCTCTTACAGTTACTACACAATCTAATGCATCTGATTCAACGATAGAAACAAACGAAAAATCGTCAGAATCACTACTCCCATCTGAAAATAAAATTTCTTCAGACCCGAAAACTCCTGTTTCTCCTCCAAGAAATCAAACAGGTAACAGGTTTTATGAAGAAACATCATAATTTATATAATAATGTATTATCGTTATAACACCTAACTGACAATTTATTCTAAATCATAGGGAAAAAACAAAGACAAAAAATGTCACATGCAGAGAAACAGTTAGCTTTATTACAGCAGCGTCAGCATGAATTAAAACAAGCTGCTCTTAATGCAAAAAAAGATGGAGATATAGAATTAGCTCGTACTTATCTAAGACAAGCAAAGGGAATTGATCCATTAATTGAAGCTAGTAGAGGTGGCTTACCAGTTGATATGAATTCTATTCCATTATCTCCTGGAGCTAAAAAAGAACTTAATGTAGATAGTATTATAAGTCTATTGGATGATAATTTTACAGTAGTTAACACTGAAGATTGTTTAGAAGAAGCAACTGGGACAGATGAACAAATTTATGAAAATCTTGAATCTCAGTTAATGAAACAAATTAAGGTAAATAGAAAACTTATATAAACTAAATTGTATTATAAATTTCCATTAAAAATTGTACAATTTTATCATAGTGGTGTTTATGTACGAGAGATCATTGTAAAGCATTAGGGGATGTACCTGGATATAATAAATGGGAACGATTTGCATTGAATTATAAACGAGATTTAGATATGCTAACAGTTCGAAAACGAGACGCACTGCCACCACCACAACATCACTATGAGGTGAAAACACACACCATAGTCCAGTTAGTATAACAATATTTTTCTTTTTATTATTTAAAAAAATTATTACTTTATAATTGTAAATATGTTATTTTGTAGGAGTTGTACAGATTTAAATGATAGTGATATAGAAATTTCAATAATTAGGGGAGTAAGTTACTCGAAAGAAGCAGATACTTATGTTATATTTGAATTTCCTTATCCTTCGGATAACCCTCCAACAGATAGAACAGCAACTATTAAAGGAACATGTAATCCAGAATATCAAGCAATATTTTCACTGACTGGAATAGATCGTGTATCAAGACAGTGCCAACGAGTATTTAAAAGACATGCATTAAAATGTCAAATTTGGGCTAAAGGGTAATGAAAAAAAAACGATGTAATTGTAGTATTGTAGTATGATCTTATGTTTTCATAATATTGTGTCATAATCATTCTTATGATTATACGTTTTTGAATATATAACGTTAAATGTTTTTTATTGTCAATTTTTAAATATTAATTTGTAATAAGTTGCTTTCCTGCAACACAGTTCATTACAGTTGAAGACATTGATAATAATATTATATTATTATCTATTCCTCGTAAATAATATTTTTAATATGTTGGATAAAATATTCTGTTAGATATATAACTGATATCATCACGATACCAAAAATAGTAAATAGATTAGTACGTTGCTTGCAGATGCTCGCTGAATCCCATCCAGTGTTGCACTAATCCAAGGTATGAAAATTTCGAATTTTTGTAAAGCACTCAACTATTAAATTATAAGTGATAATGTGCTTTTATCTTAATTTATCTATCCAGCTGCTGATTTTTTATCTATTTATTTTTATTTATTTCTTTTTTCTTCTTTGAAAAGTATTTATTATAAAGCAAAGAAAAATTAGTTGTTCGTAAATGTTATCGCGATTATTTATTGTGACTTGAAACTTTATTTCTCTTTTTAAGAATATATTTAGGGATCAAATGATTAAATACGTGATTTATAAAGCCTTCATATTTGCACGAGCAGACTGTAGCAACGTAAATTTTGTTTTTACTGATTTTAGCTTTAAATTATAATAATTGTTTCTTTTCCTTTTTAATTTTATGTAATTTGTGTGTTTTGGTTTGTAGAGGATTCTTCAGAAGCGATAATCTCCTAGGTACAGTAACAGCAAAATTACAACCTTTGGAAACTCAGTGTGTACTTCATGATTCATTTCCGGTAAATAATAAAGACTATTTGTTAAATATTATTTTCTACTTCATAAAGGTAAAGATAAAAATAATTTGTATTATTTTAGTTAATGGACGGGAGAAAAGCAACGGGTGGGAAACTTGAGTTAAAAATACGATTGAGAAATCCGATTCTTACAAAACAAATAGAGAATATTACAGATAAGTGGTTAATTATTGATTATTGATTATTGATGTAATATAATGAAATTTCGATTTTGAATTTACTTTGCCAGTGATTACATCATTGAGTCCTTGGAAATGTATCTTGCTAATCGTGATGTGACAGAAACATTTATTTTGCTTTATCCATAACTTTAATCAAATTAATGTGAATGTGGATATCAACAAAATAATCTAAAGTACATAATATGAACGTTCAGTCATTACAAAAGTATATGCGAGGATAATTGCATAAAATATGTACAGAAGCATAATTTAATATGTAAATATTGGTACACAATATACAGAAAATATATCAACATTGTGTATACAATAGCTGATAATTACTTTTTTAATCTTAATATATTAGAAAAGAAGAGTGCATTTCTCTTCTTTGTTTTTGTATCTAAAATTATCACCTATTACAAATTGTAATAAATAATTTAAATTAATTCATGAATAATTTTAAAAATATTTTTTATCGTTTATTGTTTAAAGAAAGAAGCTGAAAATTAACCGAAGTAGTAATTAATACTACCTAAATTTATTAAAATAAAAAAATTATGAATTATATCATTAAGTTACTGAAGTAATTAAAAATTTTAATATTCTTATAATATATTAGGTAGTTAATTAATTAGTTAATTAAACAAATAAGCTTTAACTAAACTATGTGTAATTAGCATGCACGTAAGAGACTATCGGTTGTACATATTGAATGATTTAAACGTGGAGAAGGAACGATTGCGGGCTAAAGCTGAATCCACATTTCCAGAGAACAATGCAGCAGGTGAACCCCACTAACAAACTATTGTCTGATAATCGTTCAACTCTGTCTCCTCCCAGTTCGTCATCCTACTGTTTCAATCTGGTGCAAGTGATTCTAACCACCAAATCCTTATAAGCTACATAATATTTGCGAAATATACATACATTTATTAGAATGTAGAAACATCTATTCGATTTTATAAAATAAATATGAAACATAACTTTTAATGTTAAAATTATTATATTCAATTTAAATATTTTTTAATTATATTAACTGTATTTTATTTTAACCACATATTTATTTTTATGCAGAAATAAACAAAATTTTGTCTGCAAAATGTAAAATCGAAAATATATGGAAAATTATGAAATTATTATAAATAAACTAAAAAAATTTTTTTAAATATTTATCCTTTATTCGTAGTAATTATTAGTCTTTTATAATTATTGAAGTTTTATTTCTAAACAAATGGATTATTATTGAAAAAATTGATACTAATTTTCTTTCAATTCTTTTTTTTTCCGTAATGCGATTTAGTTTAAATAGTCCGTTCTTGACTATAATTTTTCACAGAACTGAATAAAAAAGATCTTTATAGCACGTCGATCTTTTGTAGTCTATACTGGTAAGGGTCATATAGGCACTATAAGGGGATGCTTTAAAAGATTGGTACATAAAAGCGGTTGACACCCACCGTGTCAAACACTGGTGTCTAGTGGTTCCCGAAAAACTGCTCGATTATATCGCCGGTCGATTTACATCGGCTAGACACAAAAGTCTTGTGGTGCGCATATCGATCTCGCTATTGGAAAACAATGGGATTTATTTGCCAATTAGTCAATTAGGTCGGCTGAAAGGGCGCAGGGTAGCACAGACAACCTAAACTTCGACGTACCGCGAATCTGGATTATACGGTCCAGTGCAGAGTGTTTGACGAGCATATACATACCGCGGTTAATGTTGACCTTTCGGCCTCAGCCAGCGGGATTCTGCGTGCAAATTAACGATGTTTGTTCTCAACCCTTTGGCTTGCCTTGATTCACCAATCTCGTTGCTTTGCCCTCCCCGATTGTTAGCTACGCTAGTTCTTTTGTGCACAATTTAATTTTAACCTTTAAACGTTTGCAAAATGTTGAAAAATTGATAGGTTATTTGTGTATTTTTTAGTTCATTTTATTCATGTTCGTGGTTCTTGGTGTATGTACATGTTTGAAATATCTGTTTGGGGTTATGAATTAGGTTAGTGATTTATGTGGCGTGTAATATGTTAAGAAGAGAGAGAAAGAAATAACTGATAGAATGATCGAATATGTGATATATTTAGATATATCATTTTGTATAATAGAAATTAATGATTAAAAAATATATGAACACGAATGTTTCCGAGTGTTAAAATTTTCGAATTGTGGTTTTTAAGATTTGTGTATATGAAGTGAAAACATCTTCTAAAAACCATACATTTTTAATAGTTAGATAAAGGAATAACAGGAAAAACGAGTAAAAAATAGGCGTAAAAGTTATAACCAGAATAGTGTAATTGTATTGTATACATACAAAGTATATAAATATATTTTAAGTGAGGTAAAATACAATTTATCACTTAAAGAGCATGTTGTACATGAATAATAATTACTATTACTATTTTCAAATGTAAAATCACTTGTGTAGATGCATAAAATAATTTAACTCGTTGGTTTGTGATTTTGGTTAGTTTACGAAGTTATGCCACGCCTCTGTTCGTTTCGCGGGATACGTGCTTTATGTCGACGGGGCTCCTTCTTTTTCGAAATCGTTTCTTGCAGATAGAGTCCGGTTACACGGTTTCTGCTTATTCGGCAGATGGCCGGACGTGACGTCACTGGAACCATGCGAGTGTTGATTGCAGATGCCATATGCGATCCGATACCCAGCTTCTTCTGCCTTCCTTCGTCTCGCAAATCCACCTCGAGCACCGCGCCGCGGCTTCGCGTTACGCTTTAGTTTGGTCGTCTTTCGTGTCAAAATCTACGGCGTATAATTTTATGTTGGTATACTTTGGACCCTAGGCTAGTTAGAAATCTGCGTTCACACTGAGTCTTGAATCGAATTTTTTTTCTTAAATTTAACGTTTCTTGTGATTGAAATCTTGAACAAGTTGAAATTATGTTAAATAAATGAAATATGAATATTCATTATTACGTATAGGTTAATATTAATTTGTTTTCTATCTTCTTTGATGATTCTATTATTAACATTTATTATGTATCAATATGTAACAATAACGAAGTGATTAAAATTAAAACATCAGTTTCGAATCTATTAAAATAATACGAAAAAGATTCAAAGAATATTATCGATATCAAACAATATCGATTATTTCAGTTCCTAATGATCGAAATAATTTCTAATGTGAACTTTGTTAGTTAACCTCTATTACATCGTATGTCTCTTGTCACAGATTGTTATATGATTGATAAAATATCTGTTAAATCATATCTTATTACATTATTACTTTTCATTTCAGATGCAATTTTTTACAATAATTCACTTAGATAAGCTTATAGCATTTAATCAACGACTTCCACGAATATATATTTTTTTTTTCTATAACGGTAACATTTATATTATCAACTTAATTTTTGTTCATAAACAATTAAATAAAAGAAATAATTACTACAACTTACTAACACAAACTGTTCCAAACCTTTCCAGTGCTCTATCACACATCAATTTCCAACCTTCAACCACTTCGTCAAGCCTAATTCAAGATTAGGAATGAATGAGCAATATTCGTTCTTGATCACTCTCAAGGAAAAGAAACCTCCTTTTCCTTGAAATTTCCAAGTTTGTACGTACAAAGTTATATAATCCTAAAAATTACTTCGCACCTATTCTTTGATTAACCAATTTTCTCGTTACTGAATGTGATCGAGTTTCTCGGCTATCAAACTCGAAATTAACTGGATGCCGTTATCGCTTTATAGTCCGAGGGAACAGAAATATCGATGAAATTGCGTAGACAATCGACGAAGTACGAAGGTCGTCGTTTTGAAGTCAAGGCGACAAACATCTCGCAGTTTATGGATCGCGCGATGCAACACGATCAGTGTACGACTTCGTTGGTCAGCTAAACGAAGACAAGGGGCCTCGTGGTGAATCGTTTTATTAATAAGACGTTACCTGGAACTACGTCTGATTTCGAGATGTACAAACCGAGCCGTGAGTGATTTCTTCGTGATCTCCGTATCGGTGTCTTGTACAGGATGTTGTTACAATCTTTCTTCGTTGTTCTACACGCTGCGATATCTCACGGCCCGATGACGGTACACTGAGATGTCATTTAATGACTATGTTCTAATGATGGGTTATGAAATGATTGTATTCTGTTAAGGTATTTCATTTAAATGCTTTATTTTTCTTTCCTCTTTTTTCCATATCCTCTTCAGGGGTATTAACACGTTTAGTTTCTTTGTTTTCTAAATTCGAGTATGATTCTAATAGATTGTTTCAAAATAATCTTGGTTATTATTTATAACTATATTTTAAAAGAATACAAGCGGAAGGTAAAGAGTAATTTGCATTTTTTAGTTTTTATTTATTATTAAGTTTATCCCTGAAGAGGTTAACATAATTTCAATACAATATTAATATATAATCTTTCTGTTTATTATAATTTATTGTTTATGGGGTATTATTGAATTACCATGCTAACATTGGAAAGTGATATTTTGGTGGATTTCATTGAAGAATTAAGTATCTAAAACACAAGTCAATGTGTTTATTACAACAAATGTTCAATGATAATTCCATTGTAGATATTTTATAATTAATTTTTACATATTCTTTCCATAATTTGTCCACTCGAAACATTGGTCTGTTTCTTTTAGTAAACTATAAGGTTAAAATTTTATTAAGTTATAAGGTTAAAATAAAATTCTGAATTCATAGGTTCGTTGACGGAAAATAAAAAAAGGAGTCTCTTTAAAAAGGATGTCGGGGATATAGCAAGGATCAACAAATTAGGAAGGATTGATGAAACTAGTCGTTAGAGAGAATCAGACAAATCAATGTTTACTTATCTTGAAAGAATCGCAAGGAGATAAAGCGCATAAAAAGTGCTAGCAATAGGGGAGATATTGGCTATTAAATTTAATAGCCAGGGAAGAGAAGCGATAGTTCTTCTGCTCTCTTCTTCGTTCGCTCTCCCCATCGACTTCGTTAAAACAATAAAAACCTGCCATTAATAATGGCGTGGTGACAAATATGACGGAACTTCCGACGTGGTCCGGAAGTCGCTAAATGTGCCAGCAGTTAGTTTCATCCCCTTGCGCGGACCTCGACCCCTGGACTCTTGGTTTCAACCGGCTGCACGT